ACTGGGGTGCCGGGATGCGAGTACAGAAGAAGCACAAAAAGGTGTACAACGCAGCACAAAACATCAGTGACCGATTATACCCCACACCGCAGAGCAACTCGTAGCACTGCAAAAAACCCCAATCGGCACCAATCAATCAGTTTTTATTTAAACTCAGTTTCGGGTAAAGTGGCGGCAGAAGCGAAAGTGTACCTCCAAGTTCGTAGACCAACCAACGATTCCGTTGCCATAACATTAATTTCGTTTTCGATAGCCTGGATCTGTTGCTGCTTCTGCCAGCCACATACTGACGACCAGGGCTTCTCCCGCCTTTGTGCTGTCGGCCAAGGTGGACCCGACGCAAAACCATTATTAAAATTTCTAAAATAACATGGCATCATGAAAGAAATCGAAGATGACATGCTGTGGACAGGGGGGCTGCGCATCTCCATGTTAGGTTTGTTGCTGTTGTGATTCAGTGACACTACGAGCTCCACAAATACAGTTCGCTGAGAATACTCAAAAACAAGAAGATCGAGATTAATCCAGTAAATACAACACAAGCTAACCTGTAATGACCAACAGGTCTTCTGCCGCCTTGTTCATTGGAGAGCGGTGATTTCTCATCAGCACACAAGAATCCTGCTGGAACCGGCCCTCTCCACCTGCTCTCACCGGTGCCTGCAACCATCCACCGTGAAATGCCCAACCGAGAAAAAAAGCGCAAAATGCATTCCCAACAATGTGTAAAATGAACGAGAGAAAAGCATAGCGCACATGGTGCAATGGTCAATATGAGGAGCCAACACGTACATAACTTATGAAAAGAAAAAAAGGCCTGGCGCAGCAATGCCTGCACTTCAAACTTCCTTTTTATAATGCCAAATGCTTAAAGTGTTTTTTTTTTCAAAGTCAGTCACCAATTCATTTGTCCTCCCCAACGATAATTTTGAGGCCTTCAGAGTTTTTACGAATTTCAACTGTACTGAAATTACCGTGCCTCTTCTGCCCCCTGTGGCGGATTTTTCATTTTTTTTTTTTATTTTCTTTCAAAAGACAATGAATGAAAAATTTGCGACCTTTCAATACAAGGAAATGCTTAGCCCTCTCGAGAAATCGTCGGGTTCTCGATGCGAATATAAATCAAAACGGGGTGGCTCTCGCAGGCATGCTGCAATTGCAAGTGTTACAGATGCCCAGTGGCAGTGTGAGAAGATGAGAAGCAATTACGTAAGAAATGCTTGGAGGTAACACCCAGCATCACTGGTCAGTTAGAAGCAAACAAGCGCAGCAGCACTCACCGCTGCGCGAGAAATGATGCTCGCGTGACGAGGAGGGCTTCTGGAGATCGCCCGGAGCAGAGCGAGTTTCCGAATTCTCTAAATCAGCACCGCCATCATCCATGAACAAGCGACACGCCGCCAGGTGCGCAAAATTATCGCATTTTGCATCATTCGTTGACTGCATCTACCAGACAGCGTCACTTCCTCGCACCGACCGCGCCCGTCGCCACACTGCAATTTTTATTATTTAACCAGAACTGGCGCATGCAATACGCCACCATGCGACCACTCCCCACCACACTCAGTGACCCTCCAGCAGCAGTAGCAGTAGCAGAGGCGATCGTGAAAATTCAAAAAAAAAAAAAAAAAAACACACACACAAGCATGAAGCACGGAGCGGCAATCTACAACAGTAACAGGCCCAATGAGTTTTAGCTTCGGTAGCTGGAACATCTCTCTCTCTCTCTCTCTCACTGTGCATTGGCCAATTCTGCCGGCCGTAGATGAAACGCAGTTCGATTGGGGTCGCCATTAGCGCAGCCAGTGATCAGAGGGGCCCGCGCATTTGGGCTCCCTGCTGCAGTCGTCGTCGAGCAGCACTGCACAAGGACTCCTGGCAGCACACAATCGTGCACTCTTCCCAAAAGCACCCTCTTCCCGCCCTCGGGCACAATTTGTTTTTTATGATTTCTCATGTGCCATATGGCTTAGCACCGACTGCGTGTACATCGAACCTAAATCGCTACTTTTCTT